TTCTTCCCCATTAGAACGCATTAAACAGGTTTCAATGCATTCCAATGGGGAAATGCTTTTCGCTAGACAATGATTTCGCTAAACAGCGATTTCAGTGGAACGGATTATCATCGTCTAGCGAGGCACCACTGTAGTTTCTTTTCAGCTGAACTGATATTCCACTTCCAACCTGTGGATTCTAATTTGTGTTAATGCCATAATTTCTTTGTAATTTAAAAATGCAGCACTCTATTTGTTTTGGGTTAGCTAGTTCTGTTGCTAAGCTGCTTCTTAGACAGTTTTACACCAGCTGTCATGGAGTGACCACAAAGTGTTGTGCTCTTGATGTGTCATTTCCTTAATCTCATCATTTGTGCCCCAAGCTGGGAGGGTAGCGGAGAAGGATGGTAGCAGCTACATACCATCTGAGTAATTGTGTTCGTCTGTGTCTCCAAAAAATCATTTCCACGAGAAATTGCAGTAGTTTAATCTATTTTAAATTGGTGTGTACAGTAATGGTTTCAAATTATGTTAGTAACTGAAGTTGCAGGATAAGTATTTTGCTGCTGTTAATTCATTAACATAGAAGGTGAGGTAGTAACTTTGTTTTTGAATAGTTCAGTTTGAATGTAATCTTCAAGACAAATATGTGTACAGGAAATATCAAGTGTAGGTTTTGTATATTTGAAGTGTATCATGTTCCTTTAGACCATTCACTCTGTTAAGGTAATTTTGGGGCTGTTGTTCAAGAGACTGGAAATGTTTTGGATTTTAACTTGCCAAAAGGCTGTTGTAATAGCTGTGAAATGAAGTAGCACTGAGGCGGAATACTGAAATCTAGCTTCAAATGGCATAAATAAATGATGTAAGGTTAAATACTTCAATAGAGTTAAATAAAAGTATAGTTATTTCTGTTTTTCTGCTTGATTCTTTTATATCCTTCTGCATAATTTTTTAAAAGTTTGCTAATGATCCTAGGGTGGACTTAAATTGATATATATTTACATAGGAATGTGACTAAGATTGCAGAAATCAAAAATTCTGCTTTTGATTAAGGAGCTTGTGACTTGAAATGCCTGGTTTTCAAAAATGCAGTAACTTCTTCCAGAAAGCCCTCTGTATTTGAGCTGTAAACTGTCTATTACGCACATCTCTGGTTACTTGATACAGAAAGGGGAAATAAAGCCACATATGGTTTGGCAAAAGGCACATTAATGTAATAGTTGTGATTTTTTTCCTTTTTGCATTTTTATTTAAAAATGTATGACTTTAAAAGGAAATATAGCTTATTACATGATGAGAAGCTGTCAAATCAAGTATCTTAATTTTCTACAACTGTTTCTGCTAATGCAAAAATCCCAATCTTTTGTGCATATGTGTTATTAATTATAAAAGGGCAAAGAGAAAAAGGTTGTTGATTGTAGTTGCCTAATTAAGAAAATAAGGAATTCTATGCTGAAACCTTTATTTTCTCTACCAGAGCAGTGCCATGGCATTAAATTAAGTTATGTGGAGGAATAGCTTAATTTGATAACTTTGGATACCTTCGAATTGTCAATAATTTTGTTGCTTTTATGAAGCCTGAAGTCACATTCTGTTATTCTGTTTGTGTTGTAAAGTGTAGCTGCCCTCTTCCTTCTTTCTAATCTCTCCTTAATCTGTTTCTTTATTGTTTCCATCTGGATTTTAACATTCTAGGATCTTGGCAAAATTAATTGTTCTTTGAACATTCTAGGATATGTCTCAAGAACTGGCAACAAATTTCCAGGCCGCTATTATTTTTAAACATGACTCATTTGTGTGATGACTGGAGTTAGTAGACCTTGTATATATTTGATTTAATGAAGTCAAATGATATGATAATTATGAAAAATTTTGGTGGCTAACAGTCTACGAAACTAGCAATTGTTTAGAGAAACTTGGTACAATGAATGGGCATACTACAGGTCACCAAAAGAAAAGGAAAAGAATGGGGAAAAGCAAAACAAATTGGTTTCATTTCAGATTAACTGCAGATATATTATCTGAAACCAAACTGTTGTTAAACTTAATTGTGATGTCTTGAAATAAGAAAATGTTGAAACATAATATGTAAAATTTGCTTTTTTTAGCAAACAGTGAACCTAACCACAGTTTAGGATTTAGATAGACATGAAACTATGGTTAATTTCAAATAGACCTTAAAAGAGTGTTAATGGAGAACAAGAAAATCAAGAGTTTGTGAGCCTTAGGGCCACATCTCATTGAATGAAGGACACAATTAAGATTATTCACATGAGAATAATCCCAGGTCCAGTTTCTGGCAGGCGGGGAGGGGAAAAGAATCATGTGGGACACTCTGTGTTAGTTTGTGTAGATAATACTAAACTACTTGGAGTTAGTATAATGTAGCTCCTAATATTCCTATAGACAAGCACCTATGTTCCTTTCTATCTCCAAATGCAAGCATAGTATACTTTTGAAGTGAGAAAGGCTTAAAATGAGAGCTAAATCCTGTTGTACTGATTATCAAGAGCAAGCAAGACTGTTTTAACTATTGGTAAGCAATTGCATTTGGTCTCTGCTGCTAGGGAGTTGCTGTATGTGACTCTAAAATCGCTCATAAGAGCACTTTTAATATGCAAAAGTTGTAATGTTAGCTGTTCATTGTCCTGCGTGACAGTTCTTTTTGCATATCTGCATCTGATAGACATATTCATTAATAATCATTGTATCAGTGCACAATGGAAGTTGTATCAGTGGCTCAGGTCTGAAGAATTGATGCTGTTATACTGAGGTCTATAATAGCAGCTTCCTTGCTATCCACTCTGTTAAAAAGGATTACATACTGAGTGCACAGTCATGGTAGAGACCAGATGGTCTTTGCTGATTCTTTAGACAAATTGGGTTTCATGCCATCTTATGAATAGAAATAAGTTTGTGAAAGTAGCCTTGTGAATGTAGTTAATGCTCCTGTAACATAAGTTCTGAATATAAATGGCCTGATTTGTAACTTCCCTAGGCTGCACTGATAATAGATCCCTGGTGATTTACATTTACTCAGTACCAGTGAACTTTATGTGGTATTTTCCATCCTGTTGTCAGCATTGTTTTGTCTACATCTTGTGCCTGTTATCCTAAAATGTGTTTTATATGTTGGTAACGTTTGTATATTGAAGCAATTTGTACTTAAAATGAATGAAAATCATTAAAATGTACACAGTTCTTCTTAAAAAGCAAGAAAGTTGACCACAATCAGACTGAGCTGCAGCATTGTTTCAAGACCGTAAAACAAAATGTGTAAATGAACATTATTATGAATTTGTATGCCTAGGAACCACATGAAATAATCCAGAAAATAACTGTTACTTGTTTGTGGACAGGCAATGATGACTTTCCTTCTATTACTAATATATCAGGACAGGATTGTTGTGATCTTCAACATCATTTGTCTGTAGTAAACAATCTAATTGAAGAATGGGTTTGTTAAATAATGAGTTAGACTTTTTATAATGTTAAACAATAACTGTAAAAGTGTACTTGTTTCATTTCAGTCCAGATGATGTACTTTTAATTCACTTATTGAATACAGATTGTGTAATGGGCACTTCGTAGGACCTTGGGTTCTAAAGATGTACACTAGAGATGGAGGTATTCATATATGAATATCCCCCCCACAGGTGCAGATAACTCAGTTGCTCATGATAGATTAGCCAGTCCTGGCAGAAGGCGGGATGATGAGCCTCTCTGCCAGGTTTCAGAGTGGCTAATCCATCGCGAGCAACGGAAAGATAGGAAGCATCCACGGAGCCGGCGGCAACGGCAGAATTGTGAGTGGTCAATCTGGCCCGAGGGGGGCGGACCCTCGTTATCTGCACCTGTGGGGGGATATTCATCTTCGTATACAAATATCCCCATCTCTAATGTACACTCAACATATGTCTTTGATAATTCCAAGTTCCAGTAAGAAATTCTCCTACATGTATTTAGAATACAAACCTGCTGTACCTTTTTTAAAAGGATAACCTTTTTATATGTTGGGTGGATTTGTATATGGATTCTCAGTAGCTGCTTTTTTTCCTCTTGGTCTGTGCAAAGCCCAGTGCTGTCCTTCTTGTTGCTTTGCCACCAGATCAACTTAAAAATAAAAATAGAACGGTTGTCAGCTGGTTGGATCAGTAAATTATCCCAGTGGTCTTTCACCTCTGAGACATGGCTGAAATTCGGAGTGGATTGTGAATCAACAACACCAAAAAAGACCCACAGAAACAAACCAAACAGAACTGAATACCAAGCAGAGGTCATACATTATGGCACGTGTGAAGTGCAAGCAGATGCCACTGACTCTTGGAACACGGCATGAACATTTACGTTAATCTCTGTTTTCCACCTCCTATGTCTGAAGAAATTTGATGAGAAGGTCCTCTAAAGCTTCTATTAAAATATAATGCTTAAAAAGACCCACAGAAACAAACCAAACAGAACTGAATACCAAGCAGAGGTCATACATTATGGCACGTGTGAAGTGCAAGCAGATGCCACTGACTCTTGGAACACGGCATGAACATTTACGTTAATCTCTGTTTTCCACCTCCTATGTCTGAAGAAATTTGATGAGAAGGTCCTCTAAAGCTTCCATGAAAATATAATGCTTAATCTTTAAGGTGCCACAGTGCTTTTGTCTCTCTCTCTCTCTCTCTCACCCCCCCTTTTGCTTTTGCGTGTAATAACAGAGTTAGCTATATATAAGTAAAAACAAAATTAAAATAAATAAATATAAAATAAAAGAACAAATAAAAAAATAAAAATATGGTAGCACCTTAAAAACTAACCTATTTTTTAAAAGTCATGTTAAAATATAAAACTGGAAGAATGTTGAATTGTGCCTATTTACCCTTTAAAAATAGAATATTTGGGGCTGCTTGTGATGTAGTGCCAGATACTACAGGAATATGACCAAGTAAACGCTGGCTTGAAGGCAACAACATGGACATTCTGAGAGTCATCTTACTACATTTATTTATTTGTTTGTTTATTTACAGGATATCTTAGGAAATTCCATTTGATTACTGGAAAATTTGATTGCCTAGCTGGGCGATAATGCTGAGGACACAGATTGCTGTTTCTATTCCTGTTTGATTGATTCTTCAGGTATGCATAACACAGATATTTTTATTTTGAAACTATTTTGAAACTATTAACTGTATGTTATGAAAATTAGATATGATAGTATTAGAGTTGATTTACACATTTACACATAAATTAAAATGTTTAAATTCAGTAGCTGAACGTGGGCAGTGGTTGGACAGTTCAGAAAGCTACAGTGAACCCTTGCTTATTTCAGCTGTCTGAAAGACTGTGATGAGGAAACAGAAGTCAATATACGAGATATTTCCTGAGCTGGAATAGTATGCAGGTTTCCAGAGCTAATTTTATGACTGAGAACATCCAAAAAGCCAAGAGAACATCAACAAAGCATTGGGCAGGTTTCTGAATTGTTTCCAGAAGATGAGGAATAAGCTTAGTCATATAGTTCCGCCACCATCCCTAATTTTAATGGACATGTACCTTTCCCAATGCCACAAAATTACTGCCAATTTATTGTGCTATTTGCTTGCCTTTTCAAGCAAATATAATTTTGTGACATTATTATATCCAGGCATTCGACTAATAATCATATTTAGTGAGAGCCAGTGTGATGTAGTGGATAGAACATCTAGGACGTAAAAGACCTGAGTACAGATTCCCACTTGGTTGTGGAAACTCACTGGGGCTTACAGTGATAACTCACTCCTTGGACATCTCGCATACCTTGAAAACTCTTTTAGCATGACTTGATGGCAGATGACAATAAAGCCAGAACAAGGATTTGAGCAGGTATTATGACAGAACTTGTACTACCTTACAAACCATGTTTTGCAAAGGATACCAGAGTTAGATATCAAGCTGTAGTCTGAAAAATGGTTTGCAAGGTACACATCATGGGAACAGCTATTATGTCCATATTCACAAGCCATTTGCAATCCATGGTCATTGCTGCTGCGATATGGAATAACACACATACAGTGGTGCCCCGCATAGCGACGTTAATCCATTCTGGATTAATCGTCGCTATGCAAAAACATCGCTAAACGGAACGTAAAAAGCCATAGGAACGCATTAAACTTCGTTTAATGCGTTCCTATGGCTCCAAAACTCACTGTTCGGCGATGTTCCTCCATAGCGCCGCCATTTTCGCGCCCTCGGTAAGCGAGGGCAGGGCGCGAAAACACGTGTGGTGGCCATTTTGGGCACCCGGCGGCCATTTTGGAACCGCCGATCAGCTGTTTAAAAAAACATCGCAATGCAAAGATTGGTAAGCGAAATGCTTAACGATCATCGCAATGCAATGTTTTGCCTATACAGAACATCGCAATGCGATCGCATTAGTGATCTAAAAATTAGGTCGCTATGCGAATTTGTCGTTAAACGGTGCACTCATTATGCGAGGCACCACTGTATTCAGTTAATTAGTTAAAAATTCCTAACTTGCAACTTTCTTCTCTCGGGACATATGCAGTCTATAATAAAACCACTCCTTAAATGCCTCATTTACCTTGAAAATCCCACTGCGGCCATTAAAACTCTGTTCTGACTTGACAACACAAAACAACAACAAACCTTTTACTCCTTACACTAATGTGAATCAGTGTTGTGTAGATACTAGATGTGAATTTCAGACTTCTGAAATGAAGTTCATTACAACTGAACGTGCCAAAAGAGTGAGGAGGATGCCACTGTAGCAACCTAAGCAGTCTTGATCTCTTCTGAAGGCAGAAGCTCAGCTAGTACATGAATGAGAGATCATCAGATAAACATCTTAGAGCAGTAGTTCTCAACCTTGGGTAACCCAGGTGTTCTTGGACTGCAATTCCCAGAAGCCCCGGCCAGTACAGCTGGTGGTGAAAGCTTCTTGGAATTGCGATCCCTGGGTTACCCAAGACTGGGAACTTCTGTCTTAGAGTTTAATGTATGGCAGAGGAAAAAAAATCTTGTGTTGAAGCCTTGAAGACCTGCTGCCTGTCAGAACTGCTTTGCTTGCTAGACCAAAGAACTGACTCAGGGAGCTTGCTGTGTTCCTTGAGACTTTTTTTTTTTAAAAGTCATTATTTACACATTAAATACAAAGATGAGAAAATCTGAAAAGGAAGCTTGATTGCAAACTCAGCATTAGTTTATTCTCAAGACTAGAATAGTCTTTTAACCTGCAAGCTGCCTCTTAGTTCCTTCTTCCTAGCATCTTTGATTTCAGCAGCCCGATTTTGGAGTTGTGGGAGAGGTGTGGATCCTTCTTCATCTGTCCCTTTTGAGAATTAAGACAACCTTCTCAATCTATTGTGACTCATAGATATCTACTAGTAGATACTAGTTTACTTTATATCTGCCCTCCCCCCACCAAACACACACAAAGAGTAAGGGGTCACTTCCAGAATATTCTATATGCACACGATCCCTGGTAAATCTGCCAGCAGAAGAATACTCCACATATTTAGTTTTCTTTTCAGCAAACATTTTAAAGACGTTTCACATGTAGTTCTAAAATTGGTCTTTGTGAGGATGCCTTCAGTAATGCAGCTATTTGTGCTCTCTTAATTTAGTGAAAAATGGGGAACTCAGAAAGCCAGTACAGTCCTCAGGGATCAAAAGGTCATACGAATTCTACGTCTGGTGCCAAGCAGAAACCTTGCTCTCTCAAGATTTGTGGTACCCATAATAAAGATGAGAAGTCCTTACAAGGATGGAGTAACAGCATCAGTGGCACAAACTACAAATCCCGATCTTTAGCCAGAAGCTGCCTTTCTCACTTCAAGAGCACTCAGCCTTATTCTTCAAGACTCGGTGACCCGGTGGTGAAGATTTCTAGGAGCAGTTGCCATGCCAAACATCGAACACACTCATCAGGGAACTATAGCCATGGGAGTAGTAATGTATTTTTGCCTGATAATGGTTTTCAGTACATTGACTTTGAGGCTACAAACAACCATGTTGCATCCAGGGAATGTAATGGACACTTTTTAAATTGCTATGGGAAGAAAGAGAGCCCCCCATCAGATGACAGAATGAGCCCCAAAGTTCTCATTAAGACACTGGGAAAGCTGGACGGATGTTTGAGGGTTGAATTTCACAACAGCAGCAGCAACAGCACAGTGTCCAGGGAAGAGTCTAGTGGCCCAGTTCAACTCCTACGGTACTCGCCTACTTCTGAGACTGAAAAGACTAATGTGCTTGAAGGGAAGGAAACTTCTAGTACAGGCTACACTAGCAGCCATCGCCTGTCAGCCACTGACTCAAAACTTAGATCCAGTAAAGGGAGCTCCATCAGTTCAGAGTCTTCATGGTATGATGCCCCATGGGGCAATAATGGAGATATGAATGAACTAGATGGATCGTACTTGCCCAGAAGCACCATGGATCCAAGTGTCCAGGTCACCTTTCCTCAGGAGGACTGCAAGAAACTGTTAAACCAAAGTTCATCTCTCTCCTCACTTCGTGATTTATGTAGGGATTCAAATTTAAGAAGCTGCCAAGCCTCTGATATTGGACTTTCTGCAGATTTCATCAATACTCATGCCAGTTTAAGCAACCGTGTTTCATTCGCCTCCACCATAGATGTTCCCTCAAAGGTGGATCACAGAGAGCTTCCACAGTACTCTTCCTACACTCTCCCCTGCAGGAAATCTATGGCCCTTAATAAGGATACAACAAAGAAGGAAACACTGAAAAGTCGAATGCGCCGGATCAGTGATTGGACTGGAAGCCTTTCAAGAAAGAAGAGAAAGCTACAGGTATGTGGGGTTTCCATGTGAAGGTCACATCTGAAGTATGTGACTGGGATCCATCCCATTGCTATATATATATACTCGGTTTGGTGTGTTGCCATGTGAACATTTTTTTAATGATACATAACTGAAACCTATAAGTTTCCACTTTAGACAGCATGTTAAAACAAAAAGCAAAGTGTGCTGCTTTTGTACAGCCCCAGAGCACTTAAAGCACTCTCTGGGCAGTTTACAATTTAATTAGGAAGGCTACACATTGCTCCACCTCCCAGCGAGCTAGGTACTCAATTTATTGACCTCAGAAGGATGGAAGACTGAGTGAACCTGGAGCTGACTATGTAAGATTGAATCCAGGTTTTGAACAGAGTTTTGGCTGCAGTACTGCAGTTTAACCACTGTGCCATGAAGCTATTATGAATAAGAATTAAGTAGTGGAGATATCATGTTACTCGTGGGTTTCCACTGGCTTTAGATATTAAACTAACTCTTGAGCAGTTTGTGCAGTATGTAAACTAACATTCTGTCTGGAATCCTATTGTTCTTTTATGTGTGCATATATAGTTGCTGAAATATGTCAGTTGTGCAAAGAGGTATGCATTAACCGTTTGCACAGATGTAAGCCCCACTGTTTACAACAGGATAATCCTTGGCTTATGTAGCTGTGAGCCAGATATTGTTTGAGAATGACAGAACACTCCAGCCATGCAACAGTAATGCTTTCCCATCATGAATAGGATTCTGGCCCTTCATTTCAGCTGTGTTACAGGGGAGAAGGCACTGGATATATATCTCCAGAGTTTTGTTGATCTAAAGTTCTCTGTAGCATCTTTCCCCATCCATGTGCCCTCCAAATAATGTTGGACTGTGGCTTCCAGAAATCCTATACTCCACTATATATCTATTGGGGAAGAGTGTTTTTCCTATGTACTGTACGTGCAAAGTATTTGCTTAGGATTTATGCTTATCCATATAAGGCAACAGCCCAATCCCAAGTGACCTAAATGATTTGAGGCCCATGGTACTCAAAGAATAGCTTCAGCTTTCATAGTCTTCAGGTTTTTTTTAATTTTGAGGCTGCTTCATATGATATATCCATGGTAATGTTTATTATATCTGAGTAGAAAAACTGACATTATCAAATCAGATACGAAGGGTGCATGCAAGTATAAACACGTACATGAGATTGGGGAAGGATTGGTGTTCCACGTGCATATGTTAAGAAAAGAACTGTGGTAATTTATCTCCATGTGACAATTTCCTGTCCCATCAGTTGCACATCTTCATTGTGTGTGACACAGAAAGTCATTTTTTATTACTGTTGAATTTAACAAATTAAAAGGTAAGGTTGATGACAAGTTATGTTGAAGAGGTGTGGCTGGGAGCAAATTTTTGCCCAACCTCAATTATATTACCAAGAACACCATGTATTCTTGCTTTCCACGCCATCAACATAAGCCACTGTTCCCTTTTTATTTCCTGTGTGTTACTATCTTTTGTTATCCTACTCAAAATGTATCACACACTTAGTTTACTCCATGTGCCTAGCTTGATGCTGGTTACCATCTCAGAGGCAAGAATCTGTTTCTCCCAAATGATAGGGAAGAGATTTTATTAATAAGATCTTTTGATTGGGTAATCTCCCTGATAGACAGAGGGAATGCTATAGATGTAGTATACCTCAACTTCAGCAAAGCTTTTGACAAAGTGCCCTTTGATATTCTGATTGGCACACTAATTAGGTGTGGGCTGAATAGGACAACTGTCAGGTGGATACACAGTTGATAACAGAATTGTAGTCAGTGGGTGATGATTAATGGCTCCTTCTCAAACTAGGAGGAGGTAACAAGGAGGAGGTACCACATTTATTATATCCAAGTAGAAAACAGACATCATCAAATGAGATATGAAGGGTGCATTCAAGTATAAATAAGCACATGATATTGGGAAAGGGTTGGGGACCCTGTGCTCTTCATTGTTTTTATTAATGACCTGAATCAGGGGATACAGAGAATGCTAATCAAATTGCAGATACACAAAATTGAGTGAATAGCTAATACTGTACTGTACCTGGGAAGACAGAAACAAAATTCAAAATGATCTAGATAGGCTTGAGCACTGAGCTGAAAACAACAGAATGAAATTCAACAGGGATAAATGCAAAGTACTGCACCCAGGGAAAAGAAAACAAACACACAGTGACAAGAAGGAGGATACCTGGCTCAGCAATGCTATGATTGAGAAGGATCTTGAAATTGTCATACATCACAAGCTGAATATGAGGCAACAGTGTGAGGAATCGTAGCTACATAAAAAGCAAATATTTATTTATTAATTTAAAATAGTTTTACCCTGCCTTTCTCCTTGAAAAGAACCCAAGGCGGCTTACAACAATGAAAGACAATATTTAAAGTTGAAAACAATGAGTACATAATGGTGGTTAACATCATGAAAAAGCAACATTTAAAAATTATGAACCATGAATAATGAGACAGCTTACATCTATTAGCAGGTGATATTAAGGCAAAAATCAATTAAGTATCATTTTTAAAAAAGTCACTTTGAGAGGAAAACACAAGTAGAACTAACAATCCATTCAGAGCAGTAATGCATAACACAAAATCGCATATAAGTAGCTGGTTATTGAAGGAAGGCCTGGCTGCATTAGTAGAAGTATAGTCTCCAAATCCGGAGAAATAGTCATTCCCCTCAATTTGGCACTGGTTAGGCCTCATCTAATGTACTGTGTGCAGTTATGGACACCACACTTCAAGAAGGATGCTGACACATTGGAACAAGTTCAGAAGAAGGCAACAAGGATGATCAGGAGGCTGGAAACCAAGCCCTATGAGGAAAGGCTGAAAGAATTGGGCATGTTTAGCCTTAAGAAACGAAGACTGAGGGGAAATATGATAGCACTTTTCAAATACTTGAAAGGCTGTCATACAGAGGAGAGGCAGGATGTATTCTCAATCATCCCAGAGGGCAGGATACGCAACAATGGACTCAAGTTAATAGAAGCCAAAATGTAGTTGAATATCAGGAAAAACTTCCTAACTGTTAGAGCAGGACATCAATGGAACCAATTACATTAAGAGGTGGTGAGTGTTCCAAAATTGGAGGCATTCAAGAGAAATTTAGACAACCCCTATCAGATATCCTTTGATTTGTATTCCTGCATCAAACAGGGGGCTGGACTGAATGGTCTTATAGGCCGCTTCTAACTTCATGAATCTATGATTCAAAAAAGTATAGTATATTTGCTACACTTCATTAGAGCATTTAATTTCTGACTGGTACTTGAAGTGAGACTGCCAGGAAAACCCAGAGATCTCCAAGTAGGTCTAGGAAAGACTCCAATCTGCAACTCTAGATCAGCTGATGACAATCAGCGTTGACAATACTAAGCAAAGAGGGACTGGCATCCTTGCTTAGTTTAAGGCAGTTTCCTATTTCTAAGCAAACGTGCCAGTCATTTGTCTTTGGCTGCTGCTAGGGAAGCATGCACTCAAATGTCTTGGCTAAACAAGCAGATTTTTCCCCAATTGAATCATTACATTACGATTTCACTATTAACATTACAACGTCTACATACCATATTTTTCCATGTATAAGACACCCCCATGTGTAAGACACCCCCCCCCCACTTTTCTAATCCAAAATTAAGAAAAATAAGTGGGGCTTAGCAAGTGTAGGGGGAAAGGGATCAAAGTGCGGCAAGATTGCTTTGATCCCTGCTTTCCCCTCCACTTGTTTTTGTTCTCTCCTCAGCTTACTTCCATTTTTAAAGACAACCCTCAATTTTAGTCTAAAGATTTTAGACAAAAGTATAAAAGTATAGTTTTATACAGGGACGTGGTGGCGCTGTGGGCTAAACTGCAGAAGCCTGTGCTGCAGGGTCAGAAGACCAAGCAGTCGTAAGATCGAATCCACGCGACGGAGTGAGCTCCCGCCGCTTGTCCCAGCTCCCGCCAACCTAGCGGTTGGAAAGCATGCAAATGCAAGTAGATAAATAGGGACCACTTTGGTGGGAAGGTAACAGCGTTCCGTGTCTACGTCGCACTGGCCATGTGACCACGGAAGATTGTCTTCGGACAAACGCTGGCTCTATGGCTTGGAAACGGGGATGAGCACGCCCCCTAGAGTCGAATACGACTGGACAAAAATTGTCAAGGGGAACCTTTACCTTTACCTTTATAGTCTTATACACGTATAGCATCTTTTGTTTGGCTAAATTGACTTGGGAAGAATAAGAGAAAACTAGAAAAACTATATGTCTCTGTGTATTGGTTCTTCTTCTAATAGTGAATAAATATATGTTAGTAGTGGCTTTTTCATGGGAATAGCCTTATCTGATGATAAGAAAAGGCTCTCTCTTTACAGAGAGCTGACTGCTGCTTTGGCCACATGTTGAATGGAGGTAGTTCTGCTGAAAACACAATTTAGCTCTCTGATGAGCATCATTTGAAGAAACTGGCATTCAGTGCTTCTACAAGGAAGACCAGCAGCATGCAATTGAAGCTGGTTCTTGTCCAGAGCATTTTTTAAGAAGTCTGCAAAGTAAAACTTCTATTTAACACTTTATGAACATTTGTGTAGGAAGTAGATAAATAGGAGATGTGAACAACTGTCTCATATATTTCTGTCAGTACTTAATGCCATTAGCTAATTCTTCATTTGTGATTTACTCCACCCATGTATGTATGCTAATTTAGTCATGTTAGTAGTAATCTCATGCAGGGATACTTGTCCCAGCTCCATTTCAGCTCTGCTGAAATTTCGTCCAAAGATCTCTGGAATGATTCTTGAATTCGGAGTTGAAAGTAATTATTATATTTTGCCATCAAGCAGAAATTTCAGTCGTAGAGTAAGCTCTGGATAAACCGAAGTATGTGCAGAAGGTCTAGGCAATGAGGGCTGCCAGATTTAAAATTAAAATCATATGTAAAGCATTCAGCTCTGAATAGTTTAGTTCCCTGCCCTTCTTATAAAAATTCCTTTATGTAATCACAGCTAGTGAAAATGAGTAACACATAACTTTGTACTAACGGATAGTGAGACTTCCTGAAGCAGCAAACAATATGTTTTGAAAATATGAATTAGAGAAGCACCTGAAAATTCAAAAAGAAAATGCTTGTATACAGCTGATGATACATGCTAATCTTGGTTGTTGTGACATGGTTAACATAGAATCATTAAAGTGTAGAGGCAGAAGGAATCACAAGTCATTTAACATACGTGTATCAATGCAGGAAATCTATAGGTGGAATATCCCTGAGATGTGGGCATCCAACTTCTCTTTAAAAGCCTCCCAAAAAAGAGAGGCCACTGACTTCTAAGGCAGTCCATTCAATTCTCAAAAGCTCTTATGTCAAGACGTTCTTCATAATATTTAGTCAAAATTCCTAATTATGCTTGTTTCCAAGCAGGAGACTTGCAATGTGGTCGCTGCAGTTGTCATTATGATGATTAGATTAAATCTGGCCATCAAAACGAAGGTATAATCTCCAGCAAAAAAAAGTGTTGGCATCTTGCGCATAACTAATACACACAGCCAATCCCTTTTGCAGAGCAGGAAAATTAATTTAACCAGTCTTTGCTAGACAGTTGGGTTTTTGGATGGGCTCTTCTTTCCTTTCTTTGTCATTTTAATCTTGTTCACTGTGTACTTTTGTTTATGTCTTTTGTAGCCACCAAGAGTAGCGGATCACCACTAGATGGCCATGGTATAAGTTAGATCGGGGTGGGGAATTGATTTCTATAGGGGGGCCACATAAAAAATCTGAACTGTGTTCGGGGGCTGAACCAACTTTACTTAAAAATAAAACAAAACAGTGATGTTATGATTGTTTTTATTTTAAACTTGTTAATCTTCACAAATACTAAAGAGGTTTTTTTGCAGTATGTTAGAGATAAGCAACTGATCAACTTTGGACAAAAAGCTATAAATGGTTTTGATGTTCAAAGACAGGAGCAACTTACTGGCCGTATGTGCCCCTTGGGCCGAACTTTGGCCAGGTCTGAGTTAGATAAATAAACAAATGCTCCGCTGGACCAGCCTCTGTTCTTGTCCTGCTATTTCCAGCCCTGCCCAGAGTTTAGACAAGTTTTCTTTTTTTAGTCTAATGTTCCAGAATCCCTTAATCCACATGGATACACAGTCATGCTGGTTGAGGGGCTCCGGGTGTTGCAATGTAAAAAAAGTAACTTTTGAAAGCTTGAATTGCTCACCTATTTGATCACTGTTGGACTGGGGAAAGAGGATTGCAATTCTAGTCTCCACTGAACCATGAACATCACTGAGTGACCATAGGCCAGTCACTCCATGCACTGTTCACAGGGCATTATGACGATAAAGTGTGGGAGAAAGGCAGCTGTATTTGATGCATTGAGCTCATTAGACAAAAAGCAGGAGATACAGCCAACCCTCAACTTACAAACTTAATCCATTCCGGAAGGCCATTCGTAAGTAAAAAAATTTGTAAGTCGAATCAACATTTCCTACAGGAATGCATTGAAAACCAATTAATCCGTTCCGGCTGTTTTTGGTTCTTAGGTTCAGGGGCAGTTTGTAAGTCGAAGCATCAGTTCCCATAGGAACTAATGCAAAGCCGGTTAATCCGTTCCTACCACTAGGGGCAGATTTTTTTATTTTTTTCCTTTTAACCTAAGATGACATAACACCTTTGAAAGCACCTTTTCAGCCAAGACAAGCCAAGGCAAGCACCTGAAAGTTCAAATTCTGCACTTTCCCCACCTCCTGCATGTTTTTCCGTTCATAACTTGAATCAAAGTTCACAAGTCGGGGCAATATTTTCCTATCAGAGCAGTTCATAACTCAAAATGTTCGTAACTAGGGCCATTTGTAAGTCGAGGGTTGACTGTAAATGTTACAAGTAAACCTCAGTTGATTGTGTGTGTTTTTCCCCCTGGCTATTCACAGGAACCAAAATGTACGGATTCAAATGAATACTTCGACACTGGAATTGAATGTTTTTCTCCAGATCCTCTTGGTTCTTTACATCTCTCTGGTTCTCTGTGGTCACCCAGTTCTGGTCACCTCTTTCCCCAGAGGAGTGAATCTGCCGGTGCAATCAGCAGCGATGTCCTCAGACAGAACATTTATGAGAATTTTATGCGTGAGCTGGATTTGAGCAGGCCCAACCTTGAGAACACAGATGTTTCCACTGAAACTGAGGACTCAAGTAGTGAGTCACTTAGCTCTTTAGAACAATTAGATCTGCTGTATGAGAAAGAGCAAGGAGTTGTTCGCAAAGCTGGGTGGCTCTTCTTCAAACCTCTTGTGACCATGCAGAAAGAAAAGAAGCTCGAGCTAGTTACACGGAGAAAATGGAAACAATACTGGGTGACGTTGAAAGGTAAGTCATGGCTTATGGTTGTGACTTTGGAGCTTCAGCGCTTCTGAATCTGTTACTACATATGTTCAAAAATATTTTGTGTGCTGAAATGAAAGTTTTCAAAATATTGCCTCTTTAGTGTTTTATAATTCCTCCTGCATCCCCATTTCAAGTACAGTGGTGCCTCACTTGATGAGGATAATTCGTTCTGTTCAAATAGCTGTTAAGCGAAATCCTCATCAAGCGAAATGAAAAAGCCCATTGAAATGCATTGAAAACCGGTTCAATGCGTTCCAGTGGGCGAAATACCTCAGCGTCCAGCGAAGATCCTCCATAGGGTGGCCATTTTCATTGCCTGTAAAGCGAGGAATCCATCCTAAAACACAGTGGGGAGCCATTTTAAACAGCAGGCGGCCATTTTGAAGACCCAATGATCAGCTGTAAAGATCGTTGTTAAGTGAAAAATCGGTTCCTGAAGCAGGGAGCCGATCGTCGTTAAGCAATTTTTGCCTATTAAAATATCATTTTGCGATTGCAAAAGCAATTGCAAAAACTTCATCATCAAGCAATTTCCTCATCTAACGAAGTAATTGTCAAGTGAGGCACCACTGTACCTTTATCCCATGCACACGTATGCATGATTCAGATCCTTGTAACGAACACATTATATTCCATTTGTCTTTGGTGTATATGCTAATAACTCTTGTTAATTATTTGCACTATCTTTGTACTCTAGGTGCTTGTTCTATTAGGGGGGAATGAAATGGGTTTCCTTCTCAACAGTATACTCTCTGGAGATGTGAAAACCATGCACACATTTCCCCCTTTTCTTTGACCTAAGCAAAATATGATTGTAATATGCATCCTGGAAAATACAGCAACTTATGAAACTTGACAGCTGATAAACTCCTGGAAGACTGATATCCTCCACAGATTTTGATTAACAAAATTCATGAAGCTTAAGGAGAGTTAGCTATGGATTTCCTGTGTTGGTGGGTGGTTGAACTAGATGGCCCTTGGTGTATCTTCCAGCTCCGTAGTTCTGTGGTTCTGTAGTAACTCCCGTCATGTATGAAAGAAGATGTAACATTATTGGGGGAAAGCACCATGCTACTGCAGGATCTGTGCCCAGTGTTGGTCATATGATCAACCAAATTTTCTGACTTCCATGTGAATGTGTGCTTGGAAGAACAGGGATACAATTTTTGCAAATAAGAACCATTTTTGGAAGTTTTTATTCCAATGGATGGAATTGAGTGCATTCAGGATTTATTTTGGAAAAAAAAAACCTCACAATTTAAAAAACTGTTTAATTTTTTTTTATTTTGCACAAACACCTTATATCTTGCCCAAAAATGACCATTAGATACTCTCTGGTTCCGGGGGGGGGGGGTTGCTAGTGATTATGATTAAAAAAGACTTGGTCTTTTTTTGCTCCCATGTGTCAGTGATAAATCTTTCAGTAGTTGGTGTTTTTTTAACACAGTGTCTCAGTGTGTCAGTATCTCCCTTTTCATGGAAGGTAAAGATATTTGTTAGCATTCATTATACTTGTAGTGAAGGAGACTACCTATCATCAGTGGCTTGCAGATTTTGCCATTGGTGCTTCCTTGAAATTCATATCTGCCTGAAAGCCATTTTTTCTTGGAAGCCAGGTTTCTTAAACAAGGGAGCTGGCAATGGTTAGTGAGCAGCTTTAAGAGTGGGCTGAAAGTTGGATAGTAATGAGTTCCTATCTCGTTCAACTGAGAAGTGTTCCGTGTATTGCATAGAACAGACTCCTTATGCATATTTTCTTGTTGCCCATTGTTGTAACAATTTGTCAGCTACTGTGCATTTGGTTGATATGTGTAATAGAGTCACAACTTAGAATAAAATTTTAAGCAGAGCTTGTGTTCAGACTATTACTGCACCTATTTTGGAGTGCACCCAGCTAGGAAATCCTGTTATATGGCAGAAACATCAGTAATTAAATTAATTGCTGGATACATTGTAAATGGGTTTCAAAGCCATCTAAGATGTTGATATGCTGAACAAGGTGAGGGATAACTGCATGCATTGAGTAACGTGGATTAAGAATAATTTACTCCAAGAAGAGGTCAACATTAGGGATTGGCTTTTTCATGTTACCACAAAGGCAGGAAAACACAGAAGAGGCACTTTTTTTCATGATTTGTAGTTTACCAGGAAAAAGCCTCTAAAACATGGATCATTCATGTTAATCAAAGAGGGATAAATCAAAATTTTATGTTCTTCTATGTAACCCTCTTCCCTTTAATCTTCCCTTTAGTCCATTGTATGTAAAATCACCCAGGTAAATGTTGTGTTGAATAGCATCACAAGGGTTGCTGTTAGCAGTCAGTCAGAATGTTGGGGATGGGGGTGGGGGAGTGGGAATTTAAAATAGGCAAAAGTGCTTGGATTGGTTGGCACTCAGGATACGATCACAAAAGCCAAATGTTGCCTTCCTGTCCCCCACTGAATTCATATCGTAAATTTGTGGTTATATGATGCACGGCAATGCAAATCATTCACCCAGCAGACATGCTAACTGCATTTCTCACTCAGCCAGAGTCTTCTACTTTTTTTGTTGTGGGTTTTTTTTTAAAGTTGCATTTCTGAGTGTGTGAACGGTCTTATTGCAACCTTTTTGAATTACTGTCAGCCTGCATGTCCTTTTAAACTGTTTTCATTTTTTTAAAAAATTGCAGTGCTTATCAGTGTGTCAGTTAACTTCTGTCAAATACAGTAGTTTCAATAAGAAGGTCTAGGGTGTTTATTGAATTGAAAGGAAACGACTCAGTAGTAGAGATGAGGGTATTAGTATATGAATACGAATATCGTGTGCTGTTCCTCTGAAGATGCTGGCCACAGAGACTGGAGAAACGTTAGGAAAAACAACCTTCAGAACACGGCCAAAGAGCCCGAAACACCCACAACAACCATTAGATCCCGGACATGAAATCCTTCGCGAATACAATACGAATATCCCTGCACAGCTGGACTTAATGAGGGGCCAGCCCCTGCAGCTGGCCAATCCAATCATGTGTCTGGTGCCAGCGGCAGCCTCGCTCATCCTTCTAATTGCTCCTGAAGCTCCGCTCTCTTCCTGCTCAGCTAGCGACTCAGCAGCCCTGCAGGGAGACTTGTCCTCCCTCCCCCCGCCTGGAGTGGTCAGGCGAGCAAGAAGAGAGCAGAGCCCCGGAGGCAATTGGAAGGATGAGCGAGGCTGCCGCCGCTGGATGGACCAGCTGTAGGACCCAGCCCTTCATTAAATCTAGCTGCACTGGGATATTTGTATTCGTATCCAAATACACCTATTTACTCAGTAGTCCAAAACCACATTGGGACGCACATGGATTAAATACCACGTGACTGCAAAACACAACAGGAACACGATTAAAAGTCATGTAGCCACAGAGATACATTTGATTGGTATGACCGTGTCCTCAGTGGAAAGGAGTGCTGTTTTCCTTCAGCCATTCTTGGGAGCCTGTGCAATTCCTAATGTCTGTATCTACTGCTGCTAACTACATACCAGCAGGAAGTGGGCATCCTTGGTAGGGCCAATATGAGTGGTGTGGGTTGGGTTGCCTTCCTCATTACCTCTGTTGGCACTGCTGCCAGATAAAACAAATGTGAAAAGGAGGCTGAGAAGGAAAAAGAGGAGGTAGTGAGAGATGGGGTGAGGGTGGGGGAATCAGTTCATCCATTTAGCTCACAGCAGGAATCATAGAGTCGGGAAGGTAGTCCAGAAACATCATGCGATTATAGAACAGAAGGGGAGGAAGGTGGCATCGACCCATTCGGACCTGCACAGATCAGAGTTCCCTTCTCTTCTCCTTCCCACTCCCCTACCCTGGGCAAATATAGAGAGTGAGGATGATGGTATCAGCCTGATGAGAACAGATTTCTGATGAGAGGAAACAGAAGTGGGCAACAAAAGAGGAGGATGAGAAGGACAAGAAATGGCTAAGAATGATAGGATACACACACAAACACACCAGTCACAGACAGTTGTCCATTCATTCCATCTCCACAAGAAGCTACCCTGCTGGTCTGTAAATCTGAGATGCATACCAGTTTTCTTCACTGTGGCACATAATGCCTGGAATGATATGTGAAATCAGCAGGCAACATGTGTCAAAGAGTAAATAATGCATGTTCTGTTGTTCTTGTTCTTGGTGATGGCTGTTGTTGTTTTAACAGAAGTATGTATCGAATTTGTTCTCAATAAATTGCACTATGTATCCATTGGCCATTTTCATTCATTCATTGGCCATTTTCATTTCATTTTCATTCCTAGTTCCTGAGGTTTTTCATAATGCAGTTGATAGTTTGATGGGTCTCTTGATGAAGCAAACATCTCCAAAATGTTTGTATACAGTGGGGTCTTGACTTGAGAACTTAATCCGTATTGGAAGGCGGTTCTCAAGTCAAAAAGTCTGTAAGTCAAGTCTCCATTGACCTACAGTGCATTGAAAACCGATTAATCCCGTAACAGGCCGTTTTTGTTCCATTTTGGTTTTTTTCTGGTCTGTAAGTCAAATCTCAGTCTGCAAGTCAAACCTAAATTTTGTGGCCAGAGAAGTCTGTAACTCAAAAAGCCTGTAAGTTAAGCCGTCAGTAAGTCAAGGGTCCACTGTAGTGGCTTTAATGTTACTGTCTGTTCCTGTTCTGGCTCTGTTATGATTCCTGCCACTAAAATATTCTAAATGTTTATTTATTTTATTTTATTTCTATCCCGCCTATCTGGTCGGTTAAGACCACTCTAGGTGGCAAATGTGGGGGTTTTTTGGTAGAACACTTCTTGTGTTCAGTTTATTTGCAAAAACTCAGTTTGCGAGACATCTGTCAGCTAGTGTGTTCATAGCATGTAAGTGCTTGCAGAGTTTGCACCGATGTTTCCAACCTAGAGCTGAACACAATGTGTGGTGTGTTGGTAGTTTTATTTTCTTTTTAACTTCCCATGATCTGTGTTTAATTGTTCAATAACAAGAAAGAGTTTACTACCATCTGGTTATCTGCCAAAAGTGGATTGATGGGTGGTCTGAGACTTCAGTAGTGCTTAATAGGCCACCAAGACCATTCCTTTAACATTGAATGCTTCCCCCCTTTCTTTCCATCTGTTATGCCTAATTAATTTATCTGGCCAAGGGGTACTCCATTCCAGACACGTTCTGATCATATCATGGATGCTATAGTCTGTCCCTGGGGAAAAGTCATGAGAAGGCTGCCTTATTCTGTATGAGGATAGAGATTGTGGGCACTGTGTATTTCTTGAGAGAAGTGTCTTCTACGTAGAATTGTAATAGAAAATCACAGTGATAGTTTATTCTTATGTTTCAAAAAATATACATTTTCAATAGTTTTAAAACTCATTTAACATTATTGTTAAATGTATATAATTATTAAATACATATAACATTTTTTATATATGAAAAAGATGCCATAAGTGGTTTTGAATTGGGATTTATGCAGTCTTGCCTGTGCATGAATTTAGTGAGATTCTGTTGGACAAAAAGGAAGGAAAGAGGGGGAGAGAGAATTGTTTCCAAAACTCATATTCATTTAGAAAATGCTGCATGATTTTTCAGTCAAACAATGTTCATGTAGCTTGACCTAGCAGAGCATGAGATTTTGCATTCTAGCCTTTTTTCAAGCAATCAATCAAAGCATGCCCTATCTCTATACTGTATTGGCTGCTGTATGATTGTGCCTCTTCAGGAGCAATTACATGTTGTCCCTTCCACTCATAATAGATTCAGGAAGATAACCTTGCTGCTGTTTGAACCTGACCACGTGTACACTTTGATGTCAAAGAGGGAGAGTGGGCTGGTGCTAAGCAGTTGAAAGTAACTGGGGGAAAGTGTAGACAAAGATTCACAAAATGCGATGTCATATTTCCCAATCTTAGGCTTGTGGTGTTGCCCACAACACTCCTATGTAATGGCTTCTAAAGGTTGCCATACAATATCCGTTATACTGATTTTAAAAATAATTTGGTGATGATCTTCGGAGAAAAGTTGTGAGTGGGTAATTACACAGAACCTGAAATCCTGTTGAAGCTGGCATAATGTACATTTAAAACTGCAAAAGTGTGCTAGACAGTGAGCATTGATGGCATATTCACTTGCAAAGTTCATGTCATAGTTATGTGATTCATATCATGTTTGTGCAGTTGTTGGTGCAATTTATGATCATGTTTCAATTGTGGGATCAATTATGTGATGCACATCATGACTGTTGTGCAACACACGTGCAGAATTGCTTTATGGATATTCCTTCCACCCCAGTGCAGTTTTTCTCCTGCTTTAGCAGTCATGTTTTACACACATGTAGTAGCACAACAGGATATCAGCTATTGTGTTTGCAGCAAGAATGGGAGACATGTGAATCTCCAGATGTTGTTGGGCTACATTTGGGGTACACTTACATTTCCTAGGACTGGTGCTAATTGCAATCCAACCACATCTGGAGGACCACGTTTCCTACTTGTGGTGTAAGGAGTGTTCATGGCACTTGAAAACTATATGATAAAGAAATAACAGAGAATGCTAGGCACATTGTTAAATCAACAACATGAATTCATATGTTTTTGGTAGATAAGAGCATAAGAAGCATATCTCTATGTCCCGTTTTTATGATGCTCTGGTATATTTGGATCAAAAAACTAAATGAGTGTGGTTTCTGACATAGTCCTTATCAGGACCTATTTTTTGGAGGGCATTGTATTAGGGCTGAGAATCTGCTATTTGTTAAATACACATGAATTTAAGCATTTCCCAGCCAAACCTGAAAGTAACCATTGACCAGTGGATGGTGTTAGACTGTATGATACTTTGTCTCCACTGAATTCAAATATCACTGTAGTTACTGGGAAGAAGCTTTAGAGATGCATCTTCTATGCCATTGTTAGTGATGTATTAATTAATAACCAGGAAACAATTTCATCATATGAACTCACTGTACACATATGTACCCAATTACATGATTGGGTGTGTGTCCTATAATACAAACAACACCTCATTACTGAGTGGCAATTTGCCAGAAAGGCCTCTGCAGTTTCCTTTATGCGAGCATAAATCAACAGTGGGATTCTAACCACAGAGAGTAAAAGAACGTAAGCAAAAGCTTTGCTTACGATGGAGGAATTATTAAGCACTCTTTGACTGAAATCTAGTAGTAAGTTTCAGCTAGAATAAACCTATTGAATTAGTGGAATTTGCAAAGCAGTTGACTTACCAAATCCTCACTGATTTCATGGGCCTGCTCAAGTTAAGGCTTAGTGCTGGATTTAATTTCTTGTCTAACCGAAAAAAACGATGTACTGCTGTAATGAGTTTCCATTTGTGCATGCTTTCTAACACTATATTTCAGGTGCTATGGTGTTTCACAGGTCTTTATATTGAACAGGCTGCAGGTAGAAAACAGTAGTGACCATTCATGTTAAGCAAATAAAATCAATGTGTTTATTGTGATACTGCAGACAAGTTAAGGCTTAGTGCTGGATTTAATTTTTTGTCTAACTGAAAAAAAAATGTACTGCTGTAATGAGTTTCCAGTTGTGCATGTTTTCTAAAGGTAAATAATAGCGCAGCTAGTCTCTGTATACTGGCTAGAATCCTATTGCACAACTCTGTTGCACAGTTCAGATGATGCCATCTGCTGTGGCAGTCAGTTTTTGAGTACTGAAGAGTCTTCCCCTGTTCTGCAGCTCTGAAAGGCTTCCCCTGGAGGATGAAATTCCCCAGGGATTCCTGAAAACTGGCCAGAGGGAATAGGAAACTTTTAATCTTCCCCCAAATCGCTACAGTTAGTGACATCATTCAAGTTGTGTAGACTTGTTGATATAAAATGTATTATGAGATTCTGTTAATTTTATTTGCAAATATTAATATAGTCCTGGTGTCTCCTGAAAGATTGAACTGCCACAATAAACTTTTTTGAATTGTGGTAATATTTTGAGTGGTTACTAAGGGTACTATTTGAAATTAATGTAGGTTACTGCAGTGTGGTGTTTGTAACTTATATACCACATTCTTATGCACAAACACAACTGGGGTGAGTTCCTTCTCAAATTAATTGCATATGTTTCTGTTGTATAATAGGTTAAGTTGTAGATTGTGGATCTAGATGTGCACATGAACTTGCACGCGCACACACACATACCATGATCAGTATTCTGACATACCACCCTGACTCTTGAGTACATCTTTTCTGCAGTGATTTATGATTAGATGCAGGCAGCATAACTGTCTGCCTTAGATGAAAACAGTCAGATGAAAATATGCCTTATTGCTGAATACAGTGTAGAAGAGTAGGTAGACAAAGAAGCTAGAGGGCATAAGGATAAACAGGCTAGTGAAGTGTAAGGTATCTGAAAGAAACTGATTTCAGTGAAAATCAAACCAAAATCTGATTATACAGTGATGCAAAAGTCGTAACTTTTAGTAGTGAATTGCAGAAAGTTAAGAAAGATTGTGAATCAGCATGCAACAGGTAATGCCTACAAAGAGTTGTGAACTTATGACAATTCAATGCTAAAAGTTATGCCTTTTGTGTAGTTGCGCAAAAGCATTGATTGCTATAGGAAGTAATGCTCTTGTTGTACTCATGCTTCCTATATTTATTTTAGATTTCTGAATGTAATTGTTGATTTTGTTATGGATGTCTGGATGACAGTTTGCATAATGTTTACACTTTTCATATGTTGATTTTATATCTTTGCAAATATATTCACCTTGCTAAGGCATAAGGCTAATGCAAATAAAAAACTTATGTTAGATAATTTTTACATCAACTTTTATGTAAGGCACTTTGTGTGTTCCTGACAAAATAAATGGAGTGATGATAATAATAACTTTATTGACATACATCTATAACAATGTGGCCTAGTTCACACTTGATGTCCTGTACGGTTATGATATGGAGAGTTGCTCCCAATTCCAACTGCGCTGTGTATCTTAAGGAGACTGATTGAGAGAGAGTTCAATGAAATAAACCACGGCCTTAAATATATTTTTCTTTTTTTCTTTTGTAAAGGATGTACACTTCTGTTTTACGAAACTTATGGAAAGAATTCCATGGAGCAGAACAGTTCACTCAGATATGCACTGTTTGCAGAAGACTGTATAGTGCAGTCTTGTCCAGAACACCCCAAGAAGGAGAATGTTTTCTGTCTGAGCAACTGTTTTGGAGATGTCTACTTATTCCAGGTATTCCTGTTGTTGTTTTTTTCTCATTGGTAAATGAAAGTTATAAAGTACTTCTAAGTACGAACAAATCAAGTGAAGTATTTACCTCAAGGATACAAAACTGAGGGATGCAGAAAAATGTGCAGTCTTGTCCAGAACACCCCAAGAAGGAGAATGTTTTCTGTCTGAGCAACTGTTTTGGAGATGTCTACTTATTCCAGGTATTCCTGTTGTTGTTTTTTTCTCATTGGTAAATGAAAGTTATAAAGTACTTCTAAGTACGAACAAATCAAGTGAAGTATTTACCTCAAGGATGCAAAACTGAGGGATGCAGAAAAAATATGTAAAATATGTATTTACTATCCCAAGCATACCATGCTGTTAGGAAAAGGGTACATTTCTTAAAAATGAACATTGCAAATTTCAGTCTGTGTGCTGTTATTTTGTGTGTTCATAGTTCTGTATTGCCTGGTCTTGCTACTGTTTCTGCACTTTTCAAGAGCAGAGGTTGTTTCGTGGCACTGTTTTAAACTGGATATGGGTGCAAAGCTCCAGTTTGGCAGTTTGCTCCAGTTTGTTTACTGCCACAACAGATGTTTGGCATTCAGCACCTTGCTCCCCCCCCCCGGCAAGCGCCCACTCAGAAGCAGTGTCCTGGCTTCCCTGCCCCATGTCCTTGGGGCGCTGCAGGAGGTGGTGGGAATCCAAAACTGTCCAACACATCTTGCGGTGGTAATGAACTAACAGTTTGTACCTATCTCTGTTTGAAACCATAAGACCATTCAGGTTGTCAGTGCTAGGCGACTTGTATTAAGACTGAATTAAATGTTGTGTTATTATTATTATTTTTTCTTATTCTTGACACATTTATCTTTCTCTTCAAATGATTAACATAAAAATATAGAAGAGTGATAGTTTATTTTCTTGCCTTGGAGCAGAATTAGAAAGTTATGGTTTTGTTTGTAAGATGCTTATAAGCTGTTTTTAAATAGAAATCTGAGAACACCTTTTTAGTTAATTTTGGCAATTTAGCTGAATCAGCATTGGCAGTCATTATTGGAATCCTTATCTGAAGTGAAATGGTCTTAGGTGGACTTATCTAGTACTCGCACCTGACCTTTATACATATTTGTTAGTCACATTTATATAAATTGTGTTAACTCAGTGAGTTAGTCCTGTTGGAACTAACAACTGGATTTAGCCTCCTTGGTCCACTCCTCAGAGCTAATACTGCTACCACTCACATTTCCTTAAATGCTGGATATGCAAGAAACCAGTCTTAAAATATTTATACAGCCAGCAAATGAGTAAAACTGAGTTTCTAGCTCGAGCTACCAATTCAATGCATTTTTTACATGACTGAGCTGACAAAGATTGAGAAAAAAAAATTCTGAAGTAAAATGAACTATGAAACCATTCGAGTAAATCCTGAAAGTAGTTTTCAGGGGAAGGATATCTCTAGGCCTTTGCAGCATACATTTTTTCTTTTCTTTTTCTTTCTCTGATGATGCTTTGTGGTTACCAGTGGAAGGGGAAAGACGTTTCTGTAACAGACATTCTCTAGGGCTGAGCAGTTTTGAGGGAGGGAAATTCAAATTCCCTCCCACAAAACTGCTCAGAGTGCTGTCCTCTGAAGATGCCGGCCACAGAGACTGGCAAAACGTTAGGAAGAACAACCTTCTGAACACGGCCAAAGAGCCCGAAAAACCCACAACAACCATGAAATTCAAAGTGCTCAATCAATGACGCTGGGTGACACAGTCATGGTGATTTTTGTGATATTGATTCACCCTTCAGTGGACACAAAAATGGAAACTGGGATCTATAGCTGCCTGGGCTATGGAGATACAGTGGTGCCTCGCACAATGAGCGCCCCGTAGAGCGATGAATTCGCTCTATAGGGACGTTTTTTTGATCGCTAATGAGATCGCAGAGTGACGGCCCCAATGGGCGAAAATCGCAGAGCGAAGGTCGGTAAGCGGTTCGCTTACCGACCTTTGCTTTGCGACCCGCCGATCAGCTGTTCCGTGGCTTCAAAATGGCCGCCAGAAGCCCCAAAATGGCCATGTGCAGCGTTTTCGCGCCCTCGTTAAGCGAGGGGAGGGCATGAAAATGGCTGCTGGCCATAGAGGAACATCGCTGTACGGTGAGTAAATCAGCCGATTGGAACTCATTAAACTAGGTTTAATGCATTCCAATGGCTTTTTTCTTTCCGTACAGCGATGTTTCACACAGCGAGGGTTAATCTGGAACGGATTAACCTCGCTGTGCAAGGCACCACTGTATATTTACAGAAGGGAAGAGGGGAAAGGTTGGGTTGGTTACAAAAACACTGAGATCAGCTGTACCAGAGATAGTTGTGATGAACTTAAACCCCAATGGTTCCAGTTGGCCTGTTCTTACTGTTTTCAGAAGCTTGTGAACACACATATTTTCACTTTAGCTGTTTAAATGGTTTTCATTATTGTGATTTTAATGCTTTTACTGTTCAAATTGCCTTTAAAGATGTATGTTGCATACCTTGACTGCTATCTTTTAGTGCGAAGATAGGATAATTGTAATTATTTTAACAAATGATAATATAATTGAATCTAAATCCAGCCCCTTACATGGTGGCATTGTGCCATGGAATATGTGGTCGTACACATTGGAGCAGGGCAGGAAATTTCAATGTGAGATTACCATTTTTGGTGCCATCCCTGAGTCACACATGGCATACACTCAATTACATATATGTTATTTCCATACAGAGTCAAGAGCAGTGGTTTCCAACCTTGTGTCCTCAGATATTCTTGGACTACAACTCCCAGAAATGCTGTCAAATGCAGGTAGTGGTGAAGGCTTCTGGGAGTTTTAGTCTAAGAACATTTGGAAACCAAAGATTGGGAACCACTGTTCTAGAGACTCCCCACATGCTGTTGTTACATGCCATCAAGTCATTTCAGACCTATGACAAACATATATCAAATTCTACATAAGGTGGGGCAATCACCTTGCCAGTAAAGTCCCAGACTGAGAAAAGGTGAGGCAGGAAGAGCAAGTACTGCAGAACCCACTGCAGCAAAGAACCAGGCAGGGCAATCTGAATTTATAGACCAGAAAATACTCTGAAGGGTCAAGCAGGGCCCAAGGACACAAGAACAAAGCAAGAATCTATCAAACAAGTTACTTCCAATAGCTTGCAGTTCTAGACTGTTTTATAGCCATGTTGCTGGAATCCCAGGCAACAAGAGGAAGAACTGACGACAAGGTTTGGCTCCTGAGCCTCCCTGATAGGAAAGCCCCAATGAAGAGGATCCCACCTACTCACAAGACTGAAGCCTAGCACTCCTCCTAGGGACTTCACACTGGGCTCATGCCTTTAGCCTTATACAGTCCCACGGACTGAGTGGTGGTCCCTCCTTCTTCTAGAACTCAGCCCTGAACTCCCCTTCCACAGGCTCAGGTCCATGACTCTGGAAGGCCTGGGGTTTGCAAGGCATACCTTTCATCCTATCAGGCTCTGAAGTATCAAGTTTGTTGGGCTTGTCATCCATGAAGGGCTTCTCTCCTGAGGTCATGACGTCCTATGAATTAATGTATTCTGAAAGTTTCTGTCATTAACAGTGTCACTCAGGACTTACAAACCAAATACCATGGTTTTCTTTATTGAATCAATCCATCTCATGCTCAGTCTTTCTCTTTTTTTCTTGCTGCCTTCCACTTTCCCTAGTATTGTTGTTTTTCCCAGTAGTCTTATCTTTCCATGATATGTCTGAAATAATTTCAGTTTAGTTATCTTAGCTTCTAGAGATCAGGACTGATTTTATGTGAAACACATCTATTTGTCTTTCTTCCACTCTGTGATATCTGTAAAACTCTCCTCCAACACTACATTTCAAAGACATCTATATTTTTTTCTGTACGTTGACTTCACTGCGCAGCTTTCACACCTATACATAGTAAAAATGAATATCATAATTTGGATGATCTTGGGCTTGGTCTCCAGCAAGACGTCGTTATGTTTCAAGATACCTTGCAGTTCCATCATAGCTGTCTTTCCAAGTCCAATATGTACTGTAGCTTTGTTAATACAGAGCTACAGTAATAGTAACAAAATGAAAACTTGGTCCTGTGTAGGTCAAATACATTGGTTGAAGAGGCCCTCAGTTCATTATGGAACGACCTGGTGTACAGAGAAATTAGGGCATGCACATAAACTCTTTTTGACTAGGCAGTGGAATGGTCAGCTAACTTTCCCCCATTGCAATTACTTTCAGAAGTAGTTTCCATTCTGTATGCTTCTTTAAAATTAAACTAATGATAGGTTATGTAATTGCCATCCCTGAAGCCAAATATCATGTGATGGTTTTCATCTTTTGTGCAGAGTTCTTTCTCTTGAGATGAAATAAGCATTACTAGTAATTACAGATACCAGCTATTCAACGGGAAGTCAGTATAGCAGAAACCTTTTATTATTTGCAGGCTTGGGGGGGGGGAAGTTGCATGTTAAGTATCATGGGGTGAGGAGGGACCCCACATTTAAGCTGACTCCACACAGTTTTCCTTCTGCAACACTGGTTTTGGAAACAGCTAGACTTTATTTTTTGCATTTTGTTATCATGTTATGTTTTGCTTCCTTTCTCCTTTTTTAGGCTACAAGCCAAACTGACCTTGAAAACTGGGTTACAGCAATACACTCAGCTTCTGCTTCTCTCTTTGCAAAAAAACTTGGGAAAGAGGATACAATAAGGTTGCTGAAAAATCAGACCAAAAGCCTTATCCAGAAGATTGACATGGATAGCAAGATGAAAAAGATGGCCGAGCTGCAACTCTCCGTTGTTAGTGATCCTAAAAACAGGAAAGCAATTGAGAACCAGGTATTAAAATGTTGATTATTTTGCATATTTGTATTCCTCCATAGATATTCTCATTCATACCACATAGTTTGTTAACCATTTGAAAATAAAAGTAGACAATAAAAGTTCATATGGATCTCGTCTGAAAATAAAGATATTTCTGTTGCCTTAGTTTGTTAACCATTTGAAAATAAAAGTACAGTGGACAATAAAAGTTCATATGGATCTTGTCTGAAAATAAAGATATTTCTGTTGCTTATCATAGAAAAGTGAAGTTGGAAGGAGCCTATAAGGCCATCAAGTCCAACCCCCTGCTCAATGCAGGAATACAATCAAAGCATACCTTCCAGGTGATTATCTAAGTTTTTCTTGAATGCCTCCAGAGTTGGAGCACTCATCAATTCCTGAGGTAACTGGTTCCACTGATGTACTGCTCTAACAGGAAGGTTTCTTCTTAAACCACTTCACAATATTGAAAAATTAGAAGAAGGCTCACTTTTGGTATATTTCCAGAAATCACATATACTGGAAATGGACCAAACCAGAGCAATCTTACTCTCACCAAAAAGAAGCCCCAGAAATCCTTACATTAGAGCTGCTTGGATATGAATGAAAGTAAGCCTGGAAGGTGTGGGTAGAAATATTCTGTGGATGATTTAGTTTGCTCTGGCAATTACATTGTGTAATTGCTGCCAAAAAGAGTGAAACAACCAATTCCCCATAGCAGTCCAAACAGGGGGCTAAATGACCATCTGGTTGCACCCATATTAAGATTTGCTTTTCAAGTCAACCATCATATCTTCCAGCCCAGAAGTAGAGTAGCCTGGCCCAATATATGAGCCAGACCATTGAGGAGGAAATACATTTAAGGATGTTTAAACAGGAAACCATTCCTTATAAGAACAAAAGAAGGTCCCTGCATACCTACCCTTCAAATAACCACTTGTTCTTCTGTTGGGGTGGATAAAAATCAATGATTTTCTTTTAAAAAATGATTTAAATCATAATTTAAAATTTTAAAATGATTTTTATTTAAATTGTCAAGATTGGTTTTTTTAATTTAAATTGTGATTTAAATTGATTTTATTAAAATTGTGATTTAAATCAATTTGACTTAAATTGAACCTACCCTGTCTTCTGCAGGGCCTGTCCTCTAGAAAGCAGGGTGAATCATGCACCAAACCTTAGCTTTCAGAAATCCTTACATTTGAGCTGCTTGGATTTGAATGAAAGTAAGGTATACACTTCATCAAGCATTGTAAAACAAGGACAAACAACCCCCAGTACTTGATGAATCACCTGTATGGGTGGAATATGGATTGGATCTCAGATGTGGGAGCTGGAAATACAGAGTTCTTTATAGTGTTCAAAATGTGGTTGACAAGCTTACCTTATATAATTGCAGGGCATTTTAAAGGACGAATGATTCCTGTGGGGCCCTACGTTTCTGTAGTTAAGAAGCTGATTGTTGTAATTCATGTCACACACTAGTGGGAATAACTTGGCACTGAACAAGAAATGTGAACAGTGACTTCTTAACTAATGTCAATTTCCTAGTGAAATTTATGGTGATGGATTTAACACTGGTGTTCTTATTAATTTTTCAACTGGATTTTGGCAGTGAAGAATTTATCAAGAAGAGGTCTTCCTGTATGTTTCTCAATAATGTATGGTTCAAAAGTATGAAACATTCTAATCACTTCAGTAAAACACTAAACTTAAAGAACAGTAAAATTATATCAAAAAAGTAAGCAAATATGAGGTTCTTTAGTTTTAAATCTAGAGTCTGACAAGAAAATGCTCTCCACTGCCTGCAGCCACTTCTTCTGCCGCTGTTGCTTTATTACTAGGAGGCAGGAAAGGCCCAGAAGCACCAGGAAATGGTGAGATAGTAAATTTCACATGCAGGTTTGAACTTGAGACTTGGGGCTAGTGTCTTTGAAATAGAAATTATTTGCAAGAAAGGTGGGATATAATTTTAATTAACAAATAACCTTATTTAAAACAGCCAGAGATGGAGCTGCAAGCTCCCAATCAGTAAAAATATCCATTTAAATAAAAACATGATCATTGAGTGAAATACATTGTAATGTATTTATTTTAATGACTTTGAAAGGATTGGTCCAATGTGCTCACGTTGTAACTGAGATTAGAATTTCTGCATAGAAACTTCAAATTATAGTGATAATACTAGGCCCATAGCAACTGAAAGTCTCTGTGCTGTTCCAGTTGTTACACAGAAAGCTTTCCAGTGGCTACCATGTTCATACCAGATTCAATTTTTAAGGCTGAGGTTTGGGAAAAGAGACTTGTAGAAATGATGGCAAAGTGTTCAACCTTATGTATTGCTGTCTTCTAATTCAAATCTATTTTGACGTTCGTCTTTGAGATGAAAATAATATGACAAAGTTGCAAAGTTTATGCTCCCCCCCCTTCCTGGCACAACCTCATTAATTTTTCTTCTAATTGTCATCTGTATATGTAAACAGATCCAGCAGTGGGAACAGAATCTGGAGAAATTCAACATGGATCTCTTCAGGGTGCGCTGTTATCTTGCCAGTCTACAAGGTGGAGAGTTACCCAATCCCAAGAGTCTTCTGGCTGCTGCGAGTCGTCCTTCAAAGATGGCTCTAGGAAGGCTTGGAATCTTCTCAGTCTCATCTTTTCATGCATTGGTAAATTGCAAGAGGCTTCATATCAGTATTGTATAAAAGGGTGTTTGATTTGTGGAAAGAAAGTGAAGAGGCCCAGTCCTTCTCCCACCCCTGTGAAAATAGTGTTTACTATTAGCTTTTTTAAAAAATGTTCAGTAACACCAACAGACAGATTCACTTTGCAGCTATAGATTTTTACTATGTAGGAAATGTGTATATTTGAAATGGTTCCTGATAAGAATGAGGTTCTTACTAGCACATAAATAAACATTGTATTTGCCCTTGTCTTCCATTTGGGTCTCTAAAGCTGGTTTCCCTTGCCTATTGGACTCTTGCTATAAAAGCCTAGCATCAGTAACCATTTTGGCCATGCTAGCTAGGGCTGATGTGTTAAAGTCTAAAACATCTGGATGGCACCTGTTTCATGAAGGCTGCGCTAATAAAATAGTTATGAGTTAGGTTTTGTTGAAAATATGAAATGAAGAGACAATGCAACTTCACTTGCAGACAATGTCGATACAGTAGACCCTCTACTTAAGGAATTAATCCGTATTGGAATGGTGGCTGCAAGTCGAAAAGTCTGTAAGTCGAATCTCCATTGACCTACAATGCACTGAAAACCGATTAATCCCATAACCAGTGGTTTAAATTCTATTTTTATTCCATTTTGGTTTTTTTCTGGTCTGTAAGTCGATTCTCTGGCTGCAAGTCGAATCTAAATTTTGCAGCCAGAGAAGTCTGTAACTCGAAAAGTCTGTAAGTTGAGCCGTCTGTAAGTCGAGGGTCCACTGTATGTAAAATCCCTTTAAAATATTCATTCGAAAGAGAACAACATTCAGTCAGCTTGAAATGTGATTGCTGTATTCATAAGGGCTGTAATTCAGCTTAATATAAAACAGAAAAATGTACAGTGTAATGCCAATTACTAAATGCCTTTTCACTTTCTCTCTCACAGATCTGCTCCAGGGATGAGGCAACTCTTAGGAAGCGGACATTCTCATTGTCACAAAGGGTGCAAAGCAAGAAGGGTTTATTTTCCTCTCTTAAAGGACTGGACACTCTTGCAAGAAAAACAAAGGAGAAAAGGCCTTCCATTACACAGGTAGTTCTCAGCTAATTCATCCTGCTAAGTTTCAGAAATTGCTGTAAAATTAGCTGGTTCTTGATCTGCAATGTGAAAAACATATGGTTCAAGTTAAGGGCTCTATCTGGTTACAACCAAATAGATGTCTATGGAGCCCAGCAGGCAGTCACTGCCCACCACCTGTGAAGCCACAGCAAATGACATTGGCAGGTTTGTGTAGCTGTTCCCACTCTGAAGGTGGGATGTAGTGATATGTCAACTCTGCAAAAATCAAATTACACATTCAGAGGAAGAGCCCTGAGCCTTTAAATGCAGGTTCCAATTGCTGAGTTATGACTACTCCATAGTAGCAGTAATATGTGGAGGAAGATCAAGCATAGCACTGGATTTGTATGTTGTAACAGCCAAGGCTTTCTATAAGAAAAAGGACAAGACTGGTTATGTTATGCTCAAGTGACCAGGTTGGTAAATATAAATGTTGGCGGGTGATCATTTGAACTACACCAACTTCCTCTTCAGTTAGAAAGAAAATATAAGCTTGTGGGTTCTCCATTAATGTTAATACCTATGCAAAATTGGATCCTTTCAACTATTTTCAAGAAAGTGGCATTTCCATAGAGTGCATCCCGGAATCTCAGTTGCTGTCTTTCTTCAGGTCTTTGGGTGGGAAGAAAAATCTCAGGGCAAGTGTCAATGGAAGAGAAAGATGTTTAGGTTTTGTGTGTAAGCCTTCTTGTTGCATAAGTCCTGGCAGTATATTAGCAGTGGGCCTGTGAAAAACTCCACTCGAGCTGGTGGTGAGCTTTCCGTAAGCCTCAGAAGCTGTGTAGAGCTTGAGAAAATACTCCACATATCATGTGTGATGTAAGTTAAGCAGTTTGAGATGGAAGCCATAGCAGGAATGGGAGCAACCGCTGTCGCTAGTGGTCAGATGCTGGAAAAGGATTCTTTTTTTTTCTTTTCTTCTTCCCATGGCTCCAGGTTGCTGTATTATATCTGATTAACAGATATAATAGATTCTCGGCCAATTTACCCAGGTTTCTCTTGTGTCTGTTTCCACAATCAAACATTGGTTGCCTTCCCTCTATGACAGCATATGAACCTGTCCTTTGTTTCTTGTTTGAAAATTTTAAAGAGAGAGATGCTGTTGTCCTGGCACCCCTGCTTATGGTGTCTGTCTCTCCATTAACAGCTGGGTCATTTAACAGGAAATAAAGGGAAAATGTATAGAAAAGTAGAAACAAATAGAAACTTTCCTATCCATAGGAATTCTGTGATGAGACATTGGTTGTCTCCTGTTAGGCCCCAGAATGTAATGGAATATAGAAAGAAAAAGTCTCTTGTTATTTTTTCTTCCTTTAACTATAAATGAGATTGTAAAATTGTTGTTTTTTCACATGCACATGGATAATTAAAGGTCTCATATTTAATAGGGAAAACAAATATAAGAAGATCAGAGGGAAGTAGTAGCCTCCATTAGTTCCCTATTATATGTGGGGTTAAATTATGATTCATAAAGGAGCAAGAAACTTCATATAATGGCTGGCATCCTGCTGCTATACTTTATGTCCTTAATGTGGACAAGACTCCTTCCTTCTTGCTCAGTTGCAGGGAGGTGCCTCTTTGTTCATTTTGAAAGGGCTTGAATGTGTAAGACTATGGTTAGCAAAGGGTAATGTGAGAAAACATCTCAGACAGATCAAATGTGAAGTGTATGGAAAAGTCATGAGGGTTAAGCATCAGTTAGAGCCACATAAATGCAGTTTCATATCTTGAAGATGTTTAGTAAGATGCAGAACATTAATCGGAGGCATATCAGGAAACAGAGCAGTTCTGTTATCATTTCTGGGTAGTCTCCTTTATCAAATGCTCCTTTGTTATCTATTGATACATATGGTAAAAGTGACAGCAGTGGTGCATGAGTAGAGTAAAATACTTATGAACACTTGTCCCAAGAAGAAATTGTTTCATCAATATGTGCTCACCACTCCATCAGTTTGCTTCCTTGGTTAAGATATTGCCTATTATTGCATTTGTTTAATGCCAGCAACAGCTAAAAGCTAGAAAGGTAGGTTTATTTATTTATCTGTTTAATAGCCTCCTTTTTTCTTAATTAAGTGACACAAGGCAGATTGAAAAATGGTTAAAATGGTTTATGTTGGAAGATAGGAGAGAATATATAATCCACTGATTTACTCTGAATGCAGCTATCAGGGAGATAACAATTGGGAGGCCAGTACACCAAAGGGACACATTTTAACTCCCTTTGCTTTTCTCAGCTGTAAAGATAAAACCTGAACAAATGTACAATTACATTGAAAAATAATACAGGAAATATGCTGGAACTGGAGAAGTCAGATGTACATTATTTTCCACTGACTATATGACTATATGACTATTTTCCACTGACTATATCAATGTGAATCACCCTGGAGGAATCCCCCTGCAATCCAGAGTTTTTTTCTCTCTGCCATTGGTACATCTACTTTTTTGGCATTGAATGCATTCACATTGGTTCAGACAGTGTGATTATTTGAGTTGTTATGGAGGGGGCTATAGCTGTTGTATTTAAAACTCATTCTAGCTAGCTGCAGCAGCAGTGAGAGAGGCAGAAGAGCAGGGAAACTGGCTGCTGTTAATTAATCCTCTTCTCCCAACACCTGGTGTCTGGGTCTGCTTTCATCTTTCATTCCATTTCCATTTCTTCCTTAATTTCTTCTTCTTCTTCTTCTTCTTCTTCTTCTTCTTCTTCTTCTTCTTCTTCTTC